GACTGCCCGGCCCCCGGTGTGAGCCCACGCTATTGACCCGGTAAAAAAAAAAAAAAAAAGAAAGTACCCAACACACACACAAACACACACACACACACACACACACAATCAAAAAGAAAATATCCACCACACACAGTGAACATGCAGTGTAATCAGAGAGTATCCACCAAAGAGACCACACCTGAGATCCAACCAGCACCCCTGAGTGTTCCGCTAAAATAACAAAAAATTATTATAAAATTAAGTTTATAACCCTTCCAAACCACCACTCCGTCTTATAAAGCACATGGCAATTTACTAGCGCGCACACTTCCGCCTACTGAGAAACGCTCTGAAAGGGGCCCTGTCACTTTCTTAAAGGGACTTACGGTCTTACAAGGGACCTCACTACATCTTCCCCCAACGTTGTATTGGCGCCCCGACGATAACAAGGAAAAGTAAAAGGGGTGGGTGGTCTTAAACCCAGGGTCTAAAAACGGCTAATGCCATATTACTAGACCCAGGGACTTGAGAGACTGCAGCCCCAGGTGCCCTATAGTCCCTGTTCCCACCTCGCACTGCTTAAAGGACCGCGCTGGAGACGTGATGTGCCCGTACTCTGTCCACTAAGGCGAAATGGTGAACCGGACATTTCCGACCCGCAGAAGAGTATGGCCGCGGGACACAAGGAGATTTAAAAGGACGTTTTTTAAAAGAGGTTATAATAGCCTACGTTTGAACTTTGACCCATTTGCCTTGTGCATGTCAAGTGTGCACTGTTTGATTTCGCACCTTTTTTGTCTTCTGTTTCTTTTTTATTACTAAATTGTGTGCAGGGTGGCGTAGTCAGGCTTTGGTGCACTTGAGCCAATGGTATCCCCTCCTGCTCTTGCGGCACTGCGAAACAGAGGGTGCTAGTTTTCCGTCGGCTGACCAGAAGGACACAAGGTCTGTGGGGGACGAGGCTGATGATGGGGCTGGTGGTGCTGAACCTGAGAAACAACGCGCTCATTATCACAAGTACTGGCAAAATGGCCTGGTTGTTGGCGTCGCCTACACACTACTGGGCCATTACGGGAAGATGAATTACGCCTAAAAGGCTGTTGCAAGGACATAAAACGTTCAGAAAGTTCATTAAGCTGTTGTTGTTGTTGTTTAACCATCATCTCTTTTAACTCCGCAATCTCTGTCATCTGAGGGGTAGAACATACTCGTGTGTCAGGGACCCTAGAGGTCTGCAGAGCACACATAGCACTGAATAACTCCTAGTTCTATCAGTTACTGGCCTACCTTCCTGCTCCCTACGGATCGCTTCAGCCCTTACATCCAGTAGGTTTAGCCCGAACCACCTGCTTTAAAGTCCTATGAAGATGAACTTTAATGAAATGTTAAATTAATACATTTAAATATGTGCATATTTTTATTTGTTGGTTGTCCATAGGCTACATTTTTTTTAATCAACAAATTTCATGAATTTTATTTTATTTTATTTTCATTGAACACAGAGGAGCGGCGGATGAATCGAGGTTCTTTTCCCACGCCGTTCTCGACCTGACCTGTGGCCGGTTGCATAAACCGCTTTAGACTAGACTTAAAAAGTTAGTCATCTAATTTTTTCTCTTTAAGACTGGTCATAATTTCTTAAAGTCAGTTATAAAAAGGGAGAATGGTCTCATTTGAATCCAAAGGGTAAGTCTGATTACCTCTTGGCTAACAACTAGTTGGTCAAACTAGTTCTTAAGACACAGTCTTAACACAGTGGCTATGTTTATGCAACTGGCCCCTGGGCTGAATCAACCGTGCAGTCGGGAAACGAAATAAATCATACTATTGCGAAGGTTTGTCTAATGAATAGTAATTAGGATTCCTGACTGGACTCTTCACGCAGGTTTCCTAGTAACGTCACCGTGACCTAATTAATATTCATTAGCCACACCTTCGCCATAGTAGCAAATTCAGAGTCAGGAAGGGGTTGGGATTAATAGCAGCCCTGGAATGTGCTCGTGTGCAGATAGAGCTGCGTAGGGAACGTGCATCGGTGCGACAGGTCTGAAATGTGTGTGTTGTTCAATATGAAAGAGAGACATTGGAGTTGCGTAGGGAAGTTCGATTCTTTTGGTGAATCGATTCGTTTGGACTGTTCGTTTCAGCCAGCTAATAAACGATTCATCAGTCATAGCGCTCAACAGTGTTCCCAGAAGTCCCCGTAGCTCTTTAAATAATAATTTGGTAATATAAAATCCAAAAAGGTATAAAAAGTCTCGTGTTCATTCTCAAAACAAAAGAAATAAATAAAAATACAAACAAATACATAAATAATTAACTAAACTGTCTACTTATTTATTGCATATTTATGTGTTCTAGTTTGATTTTGTCATTCTGTCTGATACCCTTTTTAGATTTACGTTTTTCTACCTGCTCGAAAAGAGTGTCAAATGTTGCCTGTTTATTTGTTCACTCTCATAAAAGGTTTTCCCTCAGTGAATGATTTACGAACGCTTCGTGAATCGTTTAAACCGAATCATTAAACCGACTCAAACGAACGATTCGTTCGCGAATCGGACAGCACTACGTTGGAGAACCATGGCGGTGAAACAAATGACATGGTTGGGGATCTAAATTACACAGAGCAGAAGAACCGGCGCCCGTAGACAGTGAGATATCCGTGGAGGTAAGAGAAGTAGATGACTTGATTGTTGCAGAAGCTGTAGGCTACTTGTTTGTAACTCGATTTCCGAAACTTTATTGGGATCATTTGTTGGAACTTATGCTGAGCTATTGTTCCACGGCGAGTCCCACTGGAGCAGCTTTAGTGGGTTTGGTGGGCAGGTTTAACACCGACCGCGGTATTCTTGATCATTTGAAGAACATTATTTAATCTAGTTGCGAGTTTTTGAACAGTATCTTTAAGACGCTGTCAGATATTGAGCTCTGAATCGATGGAGACCAATGGATCTGCCTGCAAATCACTGCTGGAAAGTTTTGATCTGAGTTGAAAAAGTTTCTTTGATCAAGCGGATGAGTCAGTGTCGGGTGGATTTTATCTGCTAACAAAAGAACGGCGAAATAAACGTTTTACGTGCTAGTGCTTTCAGATCGCGTTAACACGGTGATCGCTCGATTCAGTTGAGAATGTTACATTGTTTCTCTTCTCTTCTTTTCAGATGAGCGCGGGGATTCGATAGAATGTATCAGAGTGACTCCGAAGGGGTCGTGCCATTGTCCGATTGAGGATACAGGACCACGGACCTAAAATACAGTTTTAACGTTGAACATTTTGAAAGTCATTGAAAATGATTAAAGCAGAGAGCAAGGGTGAACGCACCCTGCGGAGCGCGTCTCCGCATAGAAATGCGTACAAGTCGGATTTCCACGCCATTAAGTGCTCTTTTGATGGGACCAAATCCGACAGCGAGGCCAAATCTTATGCTAATGGAGCCAGCGACCCCCGGGAGGACGCTAGAGGGAGGCCGTTTGGCAACAGGGTGAACAAAATAAAGAACATTTTCCTGCAAATGGACGGCCAGCAACCGCCTGAGAGTCAGGAACCTGCTCACAAAACAGATGCATCTTCTCCTATATCCCCAGTGTCCAAGTTCCCAGTCAGCACTCACAAAACCTGCCTCAGTAGCGCCAACAACCAAGAACCGCAGAGCGCGGACAGAACTCTAAAGGGAGAGGAAGTCGAGGTCGATAAAGTCACCCTGGCGGAAAAATTTTCAGTTACCAGAAAACTCTTTGAGAGAGGGATGAAAGAGCAGCCTGCCGCAGTGCCCTGCAGAGTTTCTATTCGTGGGGCCCGGAGGTCCTTTGGATCTTCTGAAAATTGCAGCAATAGTGGCATCAAAAGCCCGACGTCACCCGTGGGGAGTGCCCCAGAGGAAAGGAGGGATGTTGAGGACTCAAAACAGGTCAATAGACTATCACTTAACGCCGGGCCTATTTCAAAGCGGTTGGAGAACTTCATTGTGGATGGCAACGAGTCAGTGCAAGCTTCTGCTAAATGTCCTGAGAAACTGAGCAGCCCCACTGAGCGCTCGCTGCCATCACCTCTACGAGGTAGTTCCCAGAAACCCACCTCCCCTGGTACTGATCCAGCACACAAACCCACATCCCCAAACTCTGACACGTCACCCAAACCTTTCTCACCTAAAACAGACTCCCACAGCCCTCCATTCAAGTCCATCAGTCCGATTTCATATAACCCGACCTCTCCGACCAGCAGGAGCACCGGCGAGCCTCTTTCACCCACTGCTCAAAGCCCGTTTAAACCGTCTCCGTCATCAGGAAATGACTCGGTGAGAGAGTCCATGACAAATGAGCCAACCCAACTTAGTAGTACTCCTGCGAAAGATGTCAAATCTTCAGCAAGTAGCCTATATAAACGGCCTCTGAGTCCTGAGGAACCAAAAAGTGAAAACCACATAATTCGCAGTCCGTCTAGGGACATCTCTCGTGAGCAGGCCCCACAATGTCTAGACCCCACTGGTGCAGGAGTGGTACGGGCTGAGCTGGTAGTGGTCCAGAACGAGTCTTCAGAAAGCGAGGAGAGTGATGAAGAGTTTTTGGAGGATGTTATGACAGAGGTGAAGCTACAAAGGGAACTTAAATCTGAGGCACCGATAGAAGATGTTGCTGACTCTCTGAAGATGTTATCACCTCAAAACCATTCAGAGGACAAACGGCTGGAGAAGGATGTGTGCTTATCAGCAGAGCTGAAGAAAGAGCAACCAAATCAAGAGGATGAAGAGGAGGAGGAGGAGATCATACAAAAGAGGAATAGCTGTCATGAAGATAATGATGAGGACAGCGAGCAGGAAGATCCAGATGAATGTGGGAAAACTTCTCCGGTGTTTTATAGTTTTGAGAACGCAGCGTTTGTGGATGATAAGGAACTGGGTCAGGACCTGCAGGTTGAGGAGGATGAGGATGAAACTGAGGTGTATGAGGAGTATGAGGAAGTTCCTGGTTTGTCTGAGGATGAAGAACAGCCTCCAAGAAGGAAAATCAGATTCTCCACTGAGCCGATACGGGTAAGCAGTATCATGTTAACAAAATAACATTCAATTAAAAAGTACATAAAAAAAAAAATAAATAAATAAAAAATATATATATATTATATTTATTTATTTATATTTTTTACATATTTTGAATCTTCTTTTTTTCCATTATGGCATTTTCATGATAGTTAGCTGTAAATTCAGGGTTTTTTTTCCTTCTGTGTCTCATTTCACATTGGAATGCAAAATCTGCTTTTGTTTTGAATTTGATTTTTAGAAAAAACACTCAATTTATGGTTTATGAGCAGTCAGACACGTCACTGTGGCTTTGGAAAGGAGATGTTTTGGGGACATTTCAAGCTCTCTGTGAAGCCCGAGGGTCAAAGCTCTCACAACAGTTGGGCAACAGAGAGAGGCTCATTGCAGAACATTTGTTTGGGGGTTGAAAAGGGGGAATATTTTTAGAAATATTGTTGACATTGTGATTCAGTGAGGGACAGAGCGCTGACCTGAAATGCGGATGGTAAATAGAACAGAAAAGTATGCTGGCATAGATCCGTGTTTTACAAGCAAAGCTGATAGGACAATGCTCCTCAGAGCAGCCTTCAGTTAAAAAGGCCTATGGGTGAATCTTACAAAGCCTGTGAAGAACATGTGAGGGTCATATCTAAGTCTAAAACATGGAATAAAATTATGATATGGGAATAGACTTTTTAATTTTGCGATTATTTAATGAAAGATTTTTTGGTTACCAACATTCTTCGAAATATGTCCTTCAAGGGAAAAATGTGCTTAATATTTTTCACTCATCATATTTAATTTATGTCATTCAGTGCTCAATATTTTGTCCCCGAATCGCAGTGATCAGACACCACTAGACTCTGGCCCCGTCCTATGGCAGACAGCCACGGCATATGGTCCTGATCTACTTTGCCACGCGGCTGATCAGGCCTTGAGATGCTTAATGTCTTTTAATCTATTTTAAGTTAATAATTTCCATCTCATGCATTCCTCAGCTCAGGAATGTCTTTCACACCTTAGCTGGTAATGATCTGCACATGGTTTTCTGTTTCCATTGGGCTGTTAGAAATAAGAAATAAACAGAGCCCTGCAAAGGTGGCAGCAAGTTGCCAAAATACCAGCAGTGGCTCGTTCCCGGGGCATTCCAGCACCTGGGAAGTTCTGCCTCTTATCTGAACGGCGCTGCAGACACCTGCACTCAAAACAGGTGTGCTGTACAGAGCATTAGTGATAATCACCTTTCCTTGTGTGCAATCTTCATTTTGATCTCTCTCTCTCTCTCTCTCTTTTCATGTGTAGCCTACATGCACATGCTCCATGAGATAATAATCAAAACTGTTCATTTGAGAAAATGTGGTGCTGCTTGTTTGTGCAAAATTCACCTCCACAATGCTAGGGTGTAGTTCTGTCACTGCAGTTGCTAGGGTGTTCTGGGTTGGTTGCCTTGTGGTTTTCTTGGGTATTATTGGCATATGTATATGTGCATGCTTTATTAGTGGCTGTTTCTATGGGCTGCTATACGTAAGCACCACATTAAAAAGGTACCATAGTTTGAAAACCTGTAATATTGAGTTAATATATATATTAAAACACAAACCAACACATTCTCACCTGTGAAAGGATGTCCAGTTTCTTCAGGATTTTACGCAGTGTTGAGGCATCTGGGAAAACTATTTTTTTTCAGTGTGAGTGACAACACACTGACTGTTCCAAGATGGCGGATGTGTTGACGTCGAATGTGGCGTCTACCTTTTTTTTTTTTTGAAACCATGTTATGCGGTGTCAAAGGTGTTCTGGGTGTGTGTTTTTTTTTTCGTAGTTGTTTATTGGCAGAGATCCCACCATAGACCTTTAGTCAGGGTTGCATATTTAATTTCTGAATGAAAACGAGGACATGAGAGATAGAAGTACAATGGGTTCAATGTATTATACTGTTGTTTAACAACATACCGACTGTTCACATGTGACTTTCAGTAGACAAAAACTCCAGAAGTTTCGAAAGTTGTAAGTTGTGAAAATTGCATGTGATCTATAACCTTTATACAGTGCGTGTCATTGTAAAGACTGTAAGTCTATTCCTCACAGCCTCGTTTTCATCTGCATAAAATTCAATATAGTTTCTAACCTGACTAAAGTCTATATGTCTGTATAACATGCTAGTTTAATACTCTGGGTCAGGGATTTGTTTGATGGATGACTAATGAATGATTAACCTTTTGTCTGAACCTTTTTAGGACCCACCTCACTTACTCTTTTTTTTTTTTTTTTTTTTTTTTTTTTTTTTTTTTTTTTTTTTTTTTTTTTTTTTTTTTTTTTTTTTTTTTTTTTTTTTTTTTTTTTTTTTTTTTTTTTTTTTTGCCGTCTGTTTTCATCTCTTATTTCTCTGTGATTGTGAAATGAAGGTGTGTAACTTTGTAAACAGGTCTTGTCCTGGCTTGAGGGAGGTATTTTTCCACCATTGTGTTTCATCTTGGTCTTAACATGTTGAGCTAAAGAGTGTTTGCATTGTTGATGTGGATGTGGGTTCATAACTGGGGATTCAAACGCTTCCCACATGCCTGGTCTTTTATGAACAGGTTTGGTGATGTTGTATAAATGAAACCTGATAAAGCTGCATCTCTGGCACACTTGAAGCGGGAAACAGGAGATCTGTCTGGTTCCTAGTGAAAGAGATTTTATCCTATGGTTGTTGGCATCTGTTGTAACTGGCATGCGTAGTTGAGTGTAGTATGTAATGGTTGTCATTAAATAGGGCAGAAATCAACTATGAGTGATTTATAGATTTGTTTTGGGAGAACTTGACTCTTAAGTCGCGGTCACACTGCAGTTTTCGTTCCATTGACTTCCATTCATACATATGCGAATGCGTCAGACCAGAAACATGTGAAAAGTATCGCATTTCGCTGCATTACAAGGTTTAAGATTTGTGACCTGTGAATTCGTATCACGTGAAACTGTGTGACCAACAGCAGATCGATACGTCACAGCATGACCTCGTAGCTGAATTAACATAAATTTAAAACTGCAGCACTGCAGGAAAGTGCATTAGGTTGTATGTTTTTACATTTTAGATGTATTATTATTTGTTATGTGTTGAATTTAAGATGCTGCAGAGCGTGACGTCATATCACGACTGGCAGCGTATGAAGAAATTTTGCATGCTCAAAGTCTAGTGTGACCGCAGCTTTATGTGTATGTCCACTGGTCTGCTGCTTTGGTCAAAGGTGGTCTTCAGTGTAGTCTGATTGCTTTCAATACACAATAAGTCATCTAGACCATTTTGAGAGATGTAAACAATAACAATCTAACACATGGTCCTAATGCATTTCCGGTTGTACACTTTTAATTTCCTAATAACTTCTGGGACTCCAAAAAGTTCCACATCTTGATAAAAACATGTTATGACAGCCGTGTTAACATTAGTTGCGATTGAAGTGCCCTCTGTTGCTGTTTTGAAATAGTTTGACGACAAGCAGGAAATGTTCATGGGTCAGTGACGTCACCACATTGAAATGTCTAGATACACAATTACAGCTGGAAAAATGCATCTTTGATATGCATAATTTTTCAAATTTGTTACTGATATTGAAGAATTTTTACATGTATCAAAAAAGTTGCAGAAAGCAAGCTACTGCCAAAAATCACGCCATAGCCAAATCTCACAATGAAAAATCATGCTCCTTTTTTAACACATTTGTGTATAGTTACTGAATTTCAGATAAATTTATATCACACAGGAGCATGACCCATCTTTTTCGTTATCGTTCACTGGTGTAAATCCAAAGTTCTGTCATGAAACTCTAGATGGCGCTGGCCGATAGGTTCGAAAACAATCTGGCATAATGACATCATTATTCACATGGCGCAGCTGATTGGTTCTTTTCGTATCAGCAGCCACTGAGCTCGCTGCTCATCATTCAAATACTCAGCTAGTGCTTGCTGTAGCAGTTGCAGCGCACTTCAGAAACCCTCCACCTTCCCCAGCTCCACCTGTATAGATCTGCTACGGGGTCATTTTATATAAGGGGTAATTTCATGTATGTTATGTGCAGCAGCAGTATTTCTTACATGCTCACAGCAGCATATCTGTGGATGTATTGGCAGTAGTACTGTTGGTGCGATTATTCGGAAATGGAAGAAATACAAAACAACCATCAATCGGCCTCGGTCTGGAGCTCCGTGCTGCAGCCAGCCACCAGGGGGCGATCAACGAGCCCGCAGCTTCACTTTTCAGGATGTGTGAGGCACACCCGGTCTGGAGCTCCGTGCAAGATCTCGCCTCATGGGGTAAGGATGATCATGAGAAAGGTGAGGAATCTGCCCAGAACTACATGGGAGGAGCTTGTTAATGATCTTAAGGTAGTTGGGAGATCTTTTATGGCTTCATTTAAAAATATTGAAATTACACCACAAGTCTGTTGTATGTCAGCTTCAGGAAAGGATTTTTGGAGCTTCACACAACTGTGATTTATCTGCTGATAGAAAGTTTATAATCTGGAGTGAAATCCTAGAATCGCTGCCTCTAAGGTTTGACAAGTTTAGTTTTAATAGTGCTGCAGTGTGTGGACTGTGTTTTTTGTGGTGTATAATGAATATGCATCTTGTCAGCCTCACACTGTGTCCTAAACAGTAATTTTCAGAATCCAGAAGAAAAAAAAAAAAGTAAAATGTGGTGGAACATGGTTATGACACATTTGCAACCTTATACTGTACACTGTAAAAAATGACCGTTATTGTATTATTTCAGTTTCATGTGTGTTACCATGATGGTGTTTAGTGTTTGTGTGAATGACACTGTGCACCTTCTATATATGTTATTATTTAAAAGCTGCTTGTGATGGGCTTTGGTTCATCATGTGACTTTCTCATCACCACCTGCATTTGGTGGTTATCAGTGTATTACAAAGGTACAAAACAGATTTCAGTACTTCAATAGGTTGGTATATCATTATACCAGTTAATGAAATTACGGTATTTAACTGTAAATTTAACTTAAACCGTAAAACCTAAAA